TCCCTAAATTTAAAGTTTTTTTAAGGGTGCTTAGTGCCTTTACCACTATAATTTTTTTAATTATTCCTAAGTTTAGGATAAAGTTAATAGCAGGTTTTTTAGCTATAAAAAAGCGTGTTATAATAAGAATAATAATAAGTAATAATATTTATAGTATTTCTATTTTTATAAACCTAAATAATATTAATATAATTCTTATAATATTTAGTATTAGGCTTTATAAATATTTTACTAAAAAAAAGTACTAGGGTACTAGTGCCCTGGTTTTAATTTAATTTAATAAATTTAATAATAATTATAAAGTTATTTAAAAAGGTAATTAATATAGTAATATTTTTAAAAGGTATTTAATAATATGGTTATTAAAGTATATAGCCTTAAAATAATTAAATTAGTTACCTAGGGCTTAGTAAAAAGTAATAATAATAAATTTAATTAAAAAAGTAATATTAACACGGGTAAATTTTTGTTAATTTTTTTTTAAGTTTTTTACTAAAATTAAAAATACTTTTATTATAAAATAAAAATATTAAGTTAGCCTAGGCCTTAAAAATTATAATATTAATATTAGGTTTAAAGTAACTTTTAATTTTATTAAATAATTTATAAACTATTTATTTATTAATAAAAAGATTTTATAAATTAAAACTTAAATAACTAAGGATTAAAGTCATGGCATAATTTTAGTTTTATTATTAAATTTTAACCTTATTATGGTTTACCAGGGGCATAAACTTAATAATAATTTTAATAATAAGTTAAGCAGGAGGCTACGCGGGAGGCATAATAATAATTAAAATTTTATTATTATTATTTATATTTTTAGCTTAGCTTATAATAAATTATTAATTAAAGGTCTTGGTATTTTTACTTATTAAAGCTAGTATAATAAAAGCTAAAATAATAAAAATAGTTTTTATAAGGTATTTTTAATTTAGCTACTTTAAAAAATAGCTATAGCTAGCCTTTTAAAGCTTTAAAAATACTTATTAATTTTACTTAACCTACTAGTTTTTTAAGGTTAAAACCAGGATGTTTTTTGCTTTAATTAAGGTTATTTTTTTTATTTTAGCTTAGTATAAAAAAACTAAATAATAAGAAAATTAAAATAGTTTAGGTACTAGGAATTAAAGCGCTTAAAAATTAAAAACCTAAAGTAATTAAAAATAATAAGCCCTAAAAAGTTATTATAATAAAGTTAAAATTAAATAAGCTAAAGCCTATGCTAGAATAGTTATAAAAAATAAAAAAAAAGCTAGTAACTAGGGATAGCTAGTTAAATGTTAAAAAATTAATTTAAATTTTTAAAAAGTAGTTAAAATTAAAATTTAAATTAAAAAACCTAAAGGTATTATACTACCTTTAAAAGTTTTAAAACTTTTTAGCTACTAAAAAAAACTTATTTTTATTAAAAAATTTAATACATGTGGCCCTAGAAAGTAGGTATTTATAAAATTAAAAGCTAATTAAAAAGGTAAAAAAAAAAAAATTTAAGGTAAAAAAAAAATAAAGCTATAATATTTATACTTTTATAATAAAAGCCTTGCCTTAAGTATAAGGCTTTTTAATTATTATAATAATTAATAAAATTAAAAATAATAAAGCTAAATAATAAAATAAAAAAATATTATATATTTAGTTAGTATAGGTTAACTTAAAAAAAAACTTTTAATTAAGTATATAAGTTAAGTAAACCCGGGCTTATAACTTATTAAAAAAAATAAATAATTATTATAAATAAAAGTTTTTTATATTATATAATATATTAAGCTAAATATTCTAGAAATAAATAAAAAGTTTTATAGGTAGTTATTTAGGCCGGAAGAACCTTCCTCCACCGGAGCCCTAAGGCCTCCGGTGGCCTCAGGCACCCACTTCCAGCAAGAACAGCAGCAGGGGAACCCCATATTGGTACGGGACACTGAGCCAGTAGGTCGAGCGCTGCTGGCTCTCTTCGGCTGGCCATGAAACACGGAGCGGTCTCTTGCTCTTGCTGTAGGAGCTGTACTCCGCCGAGGCAAGCATGCACGTGAGGAGGTTGTTGTAGAGGTAATAGTTCACGGTGATAATAAACTAGGGGGAATTGGCAATAAGGACCAGCACGAGTACAGGCAGACCTTGCAGCGAGGCCACCATTAGGTTGCGGTTGGCTGTCCCAAAGCTAATCACCTACTAGTCCCGGACGAAGTTGCCCCTGCTATAGTAGCGCTTTGCTCTAAACACCGCCTTGATAAGAAAAAACACCCCGACACCGAAGCATGTTAGCCACCTATTATTATGGTTAGCTTTATATGTTGGTATGGACATTAACAGGATTTACATGGTAAGGGTTGCAATCCACCACCGTGAACTAGCAGTATACATCCATCGCCCGGGCTTCTTAAAAAACCCTAAATAACCACCTAGTTGCAAGTCGTCCTTCCTGTGGCATTCTTTTCTTAATACCGCGCACATTCCCAGAGTTGCTATATCAGGGTTTAAAAGAAAGAAAGCCACGGCGTCCCTAACAGTAAAAAAAGGTGGCAATCGCCTGTGACCAGTCCGCGCTAATAGAAACATAATAACTGCTTTTGCTATCCTAGAAACCGCGATAACAATGTAAATCGGGGGGCTATAGTGTAGCCAATAATCCTCTTGGGCTGGAAGTCAAAGGCATTCCTCCACCTTACCCGCGTTAAATGCTTTCTAGCGATAAATCGCTCTTGTAAACCATTAGGAATTATATTATTAATAAAACATACACCGTCCAAGGGGCTAAATATCTCTAACTAAAGTTGCGTTTGCATCAACATACTCCTGGGTTTAATTTAAGCCCCATTCTGGATGGTCAAGAACTACAATAAAAGCCTGGTAAATATCCTAACAAACAGCCTGGTCAATGTCCTAGTCAATATCCAGACTGGCGGAGGTCCATCCCACACAGGGGGCATCCATATAGTTCTTAATGGTAAATAGCAGTGGCCCGTCAGGGCCTTCAAATATCAAGACCATATCTTTAAAGTAAAATGGCTTTCCTGCAAGGCTACTGAAATTAACACCATATTAGCCCCCAGCCCCGAGCTTAAAAAACCCGTACGCCACTAATCCCCCGCCCTGGCCTTCTACCAGTATTGCCCTATTACCACCCTGGGCAACAGTAAGATTTCCGGTAAGCGCAATAACAGCCTTGGTTCCAAAGGGGTATTCGCGAGTAATCAAGGCATTGCAGTCTTCTTTATTTAGCCTCTCATACCTCCCCTCAGCCAATTCAAAGGTAAAGTTATTCCAATCAAAACCCATAACATGCCTGGAACAGCGCTCTAACTCCAGTGTGGTAAGACTTAAAATATTAGCCATGTCTAAATTAGTCGGGGCCAGGACCACGCTGTACTCTCTAGTTACCACAAATTTAAAAATAGCGGAATTATACCTACAGGCCCTGGTTAAATTAGCAAAAAGCAAGCCCGCGGGGGGACTTACAAAAAATAAAAGGGTGTAGTGGTCACTAAAAAAACAAGCCAGCACCACCGGCGCCATTTCTTAATAGCCTTTAGGTTCCGCAGGCTTGGTATGCCAATATCCAGCCAGTAACCTTAAGCGTGGTTACGGTTAACTTCAGCACGAGTGGGCGCTACCAGCATTTACATGCAATAGTTACTTGCAGCCAATATCCCGGTACTCAGCACATTAATAAAAAAGTAGATTCCAGTATTCCATCTTTCAGCCAGCGCGCAGTCCCCTTTATAAATTATCTCAGCGCTGGAAAATCCAGTATTAGCAGGATACCTGCTAGCAAGCCCAGCCGCAATACAAATAAGGACAATATTAATAACCGCAATGGCGGCCGCTAACTACGCATAAAGGTATATCCCTTAAATCCATGTGTTTCCGGGCGTATTAACAGTGAATAAAAAAGGCTAAGCCGTCACCTTGCCAACTAAAACTTGCATTTGTATTTCTTCTGCACCTGCAGGGTTACCGGGCTCCTTCTCTGTTTCCGGTGCGAGGGCTTAATAGCCAAGCCTGAAAAGCCTAAAGGGGATTCGCGCCCACCTCCTCGCACGACAATAAGCAGGCAGGTTGGTTTAGATTTCTTTCTTGGTAGGGTTATACCATCCCAGCACGCCGGATCCCAGGGCGGGACCCAGCTAAAGTAAGGACGACAATGCGCGCGAGGGCAAGGCTCTGCGGCTGTGGCCTGTGTAACGCTTCTCGCTCGAGAACAAGGCTGACTCTATTTTTGCAGCAGAGGTGTCAGTCATGGACGTCGCAACAGCAAAGGTGATAGGCAGGCCGGTGCGCTCAATCTCCGAGCCTTCCTGTTGTGCAAGGCACCATGGCCATCCCGCAAATCACACTGTTGCTGGCCAATGGGCCACTCTACTGTGGTTGGTTTCCAAGGCCCGCTTTGCAGGGGCTCCTTGGATTGACGCGGCTGTGACAGGGGCTTACAGGCATTGAGTGGTCGAAGGTGAAACGGCGCGTAGCACAGGAGCCTCGAGGCTGGCTTTTTCTTAGGCAACAGCTGCCAGTAGCAAAGGGGGAAGGTGGGGAGGGTGGCAGCCACCTCGTGTTTAATAATAGAAGTGGTCCTGTCTCCCAGACTGATGCTGACAATGTTAGAGGATGATGATGGTGGAAGGAGATGGTTGGCGTCGATCAGCAGTGCAGCACAGCTCGAAGACACTACCAAAGCTGATAAGATTGCCCGTTTCGTGTAAGAGGCTCTAGTAGGTAGTGTTGGACGTTTGTTGGTTCGGTGAATGAAGCCCTTGTTCCCTCCTCAAGATGCAAGACAGCTACTTGCCATAACCAACCGCAGATATTTAACCCAGAAATAAATTATCTTTTAGAGGGCTATGTAATCAAAAATATGATTATAAACCCAAGACATTAAATAAAGTATAATTAAAGATGTCACCCTGGGAAGCGCGTGGGTCACAGACCCTGTAATGGCCGGGGGGTTCTACTTCATTTGGCGTTTTGGGTGAAGCAGCTTGTTGACAGACAGCCTGTACCAATTAACGAATAGCCAGCTCGTGCTGTGAACTGCCTGGCAAGCTCTGACCCTCCTCCGCCCGAGATAAGAGACGCAGAATCGTCAGGCCTCGCTTGGCGATCATGCTGCTATTGCTGCGTGATAGTATAGCAATTGTATCCTCTACTAATTCCCGGTGGCCGTGGTGTTCGGCGTCAAGCGGTGGCTGGAAGAGTAGGTCCAAACATAGAATTATCTAGCAGGAAGTCAGGCAACATTGAGGGTTAAACCAGGGGTCTACTTACACTCGCTGCCACCGCAAATGCATGGTAGATCCATAAGATAGGCCCTTCTTCTTCAGCAACCTGCTTACACTCGCGGAGTATCGTCTTCGATGCAGCAATGCAAGTCTTTAGGGTAAAGGAAAAGGCTAGATTAGTAAAGCTCGGCCAAAGGAACTTGCGATAAACCATAATAATCTTGTGGGCTAAGCTAATTATAAGGCAGTGCCTGGCCCAGGGCACGTAACAAGGCCAGGACGGGTGCAATGGGGCATTCTTAAGGAATAAAGGGACCACCTTGCTGACCAGGGTTCGCATCTGGGCGTCGTATCGCAGGACATGTTCGTATTTAGTGTAAAGGGTATTTAACTTGGCCATGTCATCCTGCAGCCAAGGCATCAAGCGCGCAACCTGGTAGAGTACGCGGTAATAAGTAACGCTCGTGGGCACCTCATCAGGAAGGGGCACCATATCATCCTCTTTGCAGTTAATGGGCGTACCGGTGTTAAAGTCAAGGAGGTGAATTAGGTAGCTCTCGGAGAACGGAATCGAGAACCAGTCCTGGATGCACAGCTCCGTCCAGACGCGTCGGCCGATCTCTTTTCGAACTAGACTGTTTGGGTGATCATGCGCGGAAGATCCCAGTAAGTGCAAGCCCAAGCTCTGAGCTATCCTCACGGCCGTTGCGAGCATCACTGAATGACTGTTGGAATGGCCGAGCATGTGCGCACTCATGGTCATCGTTGCGATGCATTCGACGGAGTAGATAGAATGGTTGGACGTATAGTCCGCCCGGTGAAGACATACAAGAGCGGCCTTGAACCAGCGCCGGGCTATCGCAGAGCGCTCTTGCTCGTGGAAGCCCCAGGATAGGGCCACTGTTGGTGGAGCACAGGTCATGCTTCCAGTGAGGACCGCGAAAAGCAGCGCCACCCACTGCAAATCGACATTGGCATTCTGCACGTTGCAACCATATTTGTTGACGAAATCGCCCAGTTCGCTTTGGAAGACGATGGCATGGAAGGAGGCGTGGTACCAGAGCAGGCAGTCGCAGTGGTACCGTACAATCTCCTGCAGGCACTTCGGCTTGGGAAGGAGCAGCTGGAGGAGATCCAGCGGCGAGTCGTTGGTCAACCGCAGATGCGAGGTTTCATCCAGGTCCAGCTCGTCGTCCAGCGTAACATCCCCAAGCGATCGGTGTGGGCTGCCATACGCGGGGACCTTCCGTCGACCCCAGGCCAGAAATTCAAGGATTGTCGCGGCATCTTCGACTTCGGTGTCTTCGTTGACCCCTGCTGAATGCATCTCAGGTCGGTCCGACCGTGAAGGCACTGGTTCTGGAAGGAGCGACTGCTGTTCTGGCGATGATGGCACGGAGATCGTGCCATCTTCAAGCACCGGAGTGGCCGTTTGACTCTGTCTCACTACTCGAAGGGTCGCTTGCAGCTCCTGAAGACAGTCTTGGATAGCTCTCTCGCTGGTAGTCTGTTGGGGGAGGCGATAACAAGGCCTGCCTCTATTCGCTGTCAGGATGCTGTCAGAAGTCCTGCGATCGGGCGTATCTCACCGTCTTGAACAGTTGCGACAGGGAATGACCTTGTCGCACTTGATCTTCTTCCTCGTGCACTCGGCACAGGCCAGTCGTCTGCGCTGACTGCGGGCGTCCATCTCGTTGATTGTACCCAAGATCGGACGAGAGTCGGATGGGATACCATCTTCTTATCATCTCGGGGATGATCGGCCGATCATGATAACAGACTAGGATGGAGGATCAATGATAAACAGACCAAATGCAGGATCAATGATAACCAGACCAAATGCAGGCAGATAGCGATAGACAGGGATGGGGGGTTGGGAGGCGGGGTAAGTGATAGCACCACCACGCAAGGGGTTTGTCTCCGTTAAGACCACATTCACATTGCATGTCGATGCTTCTACAAGAGCAGTCTGCGATCAAATGCGTTCTCTCCGCCGCCGGACGTGGGCGTTGCCCAAGCAGCCCAGCAGCATCGCCCCCGAGCATGTCTGGAGCAACGCCGGTACGCAGTCTGCAAGTGAGAAAAGACCCGATGTTAACGCTTCTCAGACCAAGACCCCGTTCCGCCAGAGAAATGGACGTGGACAGGCTGGACGTTCACGCAGTACTGGCTGTCGGACCTGGTCACCATCTCCACCTGGTCGGCCGCCAGCTCGGCCTTTGCGTCGGGTTTGTCTGCAACAGACACTATTCTCCTGACTCTCGTTGCGGCCTTGTGCAATGCCATTCCTACAGGTAAGCGACTAACGCAACAACGGGAAGGCATTCTGACCTCTCAGTGCTCAACGGCGCAGTCGGGGCGGACCTGCACATCCCCTTCCCGGTCGCCATTAGGGCCAGCTACGGCTCCTACTTTGGCTACTTCTGCGTTGCCTCCCGTGCGATCCTGGCTCTGTTTTGGTTTGGAGTGCAGAGTTCGTATGGAGGGAGATGTGTCACTCCAGTAAGAAGACTATCCTGTCCCAGCACTGCAGTTTTAACTCCATCAGATCATCGTAGCCATCTGGCCCAGCTACCGCAGCCTGCCCAACCATCTGCCAGCATCCGCAGCAATCACCACCCAAGGAATGATCTCCTATGTGATCTATCATGTCGTCCAGACACCGTTCCTATTTATCCCCACCCATCGCCTCCATTACATGTTCATCTTCAAGTCGGCCCTTGTCCCGCCCATGGCACTGGCCATGGTCATCTGGATCAGCGTCAAGGCCGGCGGTGGCAGCGACCTCTTCAGCAAGCCGGCTACAGTCCATGGGTCAGAACGGGCCTGGCTGTGGCTGACCAACATGACCTCCATCACCGGCGGATTCTCGACCTTGGCCGTCAACATCTCCGACTTTTCACGATTCAGCAAGAAACCGGGAGGTCCAGTCTGGCAGCTTCCGATGATACCCTTCTTCAAGGTCATCACTGGTTTGTTTGGAATTATCGCCGCCAGTGCATCTCAGAATGTCTACGGCGAGGTGCTCTGGAGTCCGCTTGACATCATCGATCAGTGGCATGGATCCCCTGGTGGTCGAGCAGCGGCATTCTTTTGCTCGGTCCTATGGTTGCTTGCGACTATCTGCAATAACATCTCTGCCAACTCCATCTCTTTCTCGAATGGTATTATCTATCTTAGCGAGACACAAAAGCATAAGCTGACCGTATAGATCTGACAACAATGTGCCCCAGGTGGATAAACCTCAAGCGCGGCATGATCATTTGCCTGTTACTTGGAGGATGGGCGCTCTGTCCCTGGATCATCATCAAGAATGGAACCACCTTCCTCAGCTTCATGGGAGCTTACGCCATCTTCATGGCTCCAATTGCCGGTATCCTCTTCTGCGACTACTGGATCGTTAAGCGGCGGAAGTATGACGTCCCAGCACTGTACGATCCGAGAAGCATCTATTATTACAGGGTATATTGTCACAGTTTCAACATGATACAACGCCTTAGCTAACTTGAGCAGTACGGAACAAACTGGCGAGCCCTCATCTGCAATCTCGTCGTGATCGTCCCCTTGCTCCCCGGTCTCGCCCACGCAGTCACACCAAACAACGTCCCAATCAATACCGGTCTCCAACATCTGTATTCAATCAACTATCTCTACGGCTTCTGTCTCTCGACGGTTCTGTACTTTGTTCTGAACCATTTTTGGCCGAATCGGCAGACTCTCATCCCAGCTGTCGTTCCTGGGGTTGTGATTGATGGGCTGCCGAGTGCTGCGTCTGATATCGAGGCTCCGGCGGTGACTTCGAAGCAGGCGGCGCATTCGGATAAAGCAGTCGCTAGTGGTTATTGATAGCTTCTTCTTGATGTCTTGGGCACCGTTTTGTGTTGTAAGAGTCGATGGATCCAAGGATACGGTTGCTACCATAGTGTCATGCAGAATATAAGTTGGTAATCTCTGCCAGAACAAACCCCAAAGCGTCAGAAGGTTGAGAGAGTATTTGAGATAAGAAGACATTGTAAAACTCGAGACCACAGTAATCCAGTTCATATATATGAACTATTGCTGCACACTAGTATTATAAGTCTTCTCAATCTTTGTTGCGTCCTAAGCCTAAACAAAATGGTTCAGATTCACCACCATCGCAACCAAATCCTCAAACCGATCAGCAAAGTCCATCACCACAATTCCGTAATGACCCTTTGGCCGAGACGTCAAGTACAGCCGCAGGTGGTCATTGACCCCCAGCTCATACGCATAGCTGCCCTTGGACGGGTGGCTGCCCTTGGACGGATAGAGAGTCACCAGACGGCCCTGGGCAACACTACGCGGCCAGATGGGCCACTGGGGCCCCGTGGGCGTCTTGAACTTCGGGGGCTTGGTGGCACTGGCGAAGTTGATATACCACCATTTCCCATCCCTGTCCAACGCCGCTTGGTCCAGCAACGCTTTAACCTTGGCCATTTTCCAGCTCTCGGGCGATTGGATCCGCTGGTCTTCTGGGATCCAGTTGAGGTCGTAGGCGTCCTGAACGGAAAGGATTATTTGTGCTGGGGGATCGGACAGGATGGTGAAGGGGTCGATCTGCTCGGCCCAGTCGTCGAAGGCGTTGATGCCGAATTCGGGAGTGGGTTGTGTGTCGAACAGCTGGTAGCGTCTGAGCAGGATGATCTTCTTCCGTGCTTCTTGAACGGTGGGTATCGCCGGCGTTGTGAGCCAGTACTGCGCTCCGCGCTCGCTGGTGATCAAGCTGCACATCTCCTCGGCAAACCGTCGTCTGTCCGGTCCCTCGCCATTCGGGTCATATTTGAGGGAGACCACGAGAAACTCGGACGGGTGGTCATCGAGGAAGCCATAGAGCTGGGTGAATAACTCGCGGAGAGGCAGGTAGGGGAGAATAGGCATGGGACCGTGGTGGACGATGGCCTCCTCTGTGCCAATCCAGCCACGCCATCCGTATCCACCTCGAATATCCAGGAACCGAATTCCTGCCCGCAGCTGCAGACTAATTGGCATCGTCTGACACGTCCCCACTCTGTTCATCAGCGGTGCGAGAACATTCCAAGAAGGCGGCCGGTCCAGTGCCCCGGAGTCATGCGTGCCAGGCAGAGTAACGTGGGATATAGGCACCGTCTGAGGGAGCCAGCGCATCCAGCTACTGAGCGGCCCCAAAGTAGAGACCGGCTGCGAGATCTGCATGATTTGGTGGCTGCCGTTGCTGAGGACCGTGTTCCACAGGCAATACACGGTGTCAATGTGGACGACCATGACAGGGCACTGGGTGGTCTTGACATGGCCGACCGACTCATGCGCAGGAACATACGGCGGATCACGGAGCATCAGCGTCCTCACATTCTCATAGTCACTGCCCTGCTTGTAGGCGATGAAAAACTGGTTGTTGCGTGTGACGACCGACATCTCATTTGGAATCGCATTGCCATCAAATCTGAACCCAGGCCTCTCCGGTTTCGAGTCGCCCTTCCAGGCAATCTGGTCTTGGTTGACCATTGCCCAGACCTTGACGCTACCGTTCTGCTGCGGCCTGAATAGATATACCTGGGTGTCATACCAGACAAAAGGATAAGCTCTGCCTGCATTGTCGTCTCCTAGATTGACCTGAACTGGAGCCGTGAAACCGTCCCCGCCAACCCATCGCATGAGGAAGAAGGTTGGCTGCGGCTGGTTGGGGGCAATCTGGCGATAAAACAGATACAGTTGATTCTGGGCCGTAACGAGAGATGCATCCACAAGTCCATCTGTCAAGGGCAACTGAGAAATACGCTCCCAGATCCGTAGTTCCTGCTCAGCGTCGAAATCCCAACCAATGGTCAAGTGGTAGTGGCTCAGGTTCAGTGTATCGTTTCCATCGGCCTTATGGAACACAATCAAGTGGAGGACATCTTCCGAAACCACGATCAGCGGAGTGCGAGAGGCAGGCACCACACTGTTTGCGACTCCATACGTGAGGAGTTCCGGCTCAGTCCAGGTCTCGTCCGCCAGGCGCCGGATAGTGAACAAGACCGAATCCTTCTCGACTGGTCGTTCTTGCACGAAGAAGACGCAGAGCTCGCCTCGGTAGGAGATTGCTGCCGGTGCGAGATTCGAGAACGCCTTTGGTATTGGTGACGGCTTCCGCGAGGTCCAGTCCACGACTTTGGCCATCTTGTTTGATTTGGAAGGTGGAATTATAGGATCTGAACGAACTTGGAGAGACTATATACAGCAGAAGGTGGTCTAGACCATGGCACTCACGAGACCAGCTGAACAACCTGCAGCCGACTCCATTAGATTGCATTCAAGGTAACGGCAGCCGAGACCAATGGCACCATGATACTACGTGTCTCACTATTTGTCCGCCAGCTCCGTCATGACCTGGCTGATGGTCAGGACCTGCGTCTTGTTGCTGCCCGTCTTGCCCGGGGTGAAGTACAGATGGAACTTCCACACCACCTCAGCGCCGTTCTTGTCGCGCGCAACATACGGGGTCAAAGACTCGACAGCAGAGTCCGCAATCCTTCGCCTGTCGCAGGCGCCCTTTGGGTCCTCAGACTCTTCCACGTAGCCCAGCACCGGTCCCACAAGAGGGTTCCCGAATCCCTAGTCCAGGTATGCGTCAATATTGCAATGGGTATACGCAGATCGAAGATCGGACTTACTACCGAGAATTTGTACACATTCGATGCGTCCAACGCTGCATGATAGCAGATTCCCCCGAACGTCCCGAACATCGAGTCGTCTTTGATACCAATGCCCTTCGTCGTGTACGGCTCGAGCTCAACCGGGCCATTCTGATAAGCGGCACCGTCCCAGTGCGGCGGATGGACCGGCGTCAGCTTGAACATGGTCTTGTTGCGGACCACTATCCACATTGAAGTCTTCTGCTTTGCGATGTCGTCAGGAACAGCAGGAATGCTGTCCCAACCGGGCTGCAAGCTTCATCAGTATGAGGCTATGGCGGATTGGCCATGGGGAATTGGGATACTGACATCTCCCATCTTCTGCTCGTAAGAGTGCTTGGAGCCGACCACGCAGCTCAGGAATACCTCGGACATTGTTGCTGCTGTAACTGAATCTCCTCCTGCGGTTGAAACAGAGCCAGGTTTGACTGAAAGATGCGGTCACATCAATCACGATGGCTCAGTTTATACATGGCGACCTCGCTTCAAATTTCCCAATAGTTTAGCTCAATGCTCCATCGGCTGTTTTGCCCTCAAGAAGCACACCAAACAGACTATAAATTAAGCACATGGCCTTAGCGCAGGAAGAGACCAGCTGAAATCTCCACCGAGAACAGAAACCAAGGCATGGCGTCCTTGATACCAGCTGAGATGTACCCTAGCAGGGGGTACATGCCACGCGTCGCCAGCAATTTCAGCTGTATTGACCCTTTGGAGCATCTAGACTCGCTTGGTTATCTATTCAATGTCTCATGATTGCTCTCATCGCATTTTTAGGGCATTCGTATGCGCCTAGTCTTGCCGCTATCCCACGGTGTGTTCTTCGACTTTCTCGAATGGACCTTTATATTCAGCAATCGGTCGGCAACACCGAACTTCTCTAACAATTCTGTCATAATCAATGCAAGATGACCGACACTAACTCCTCCGTTCCTTCTTTCTCAATGGATGAAGTAGAAGCGGCCCTCAAGGACCTGCTCTCCGCCCCTGTTCTTCGCGACGGCATCGCCCCTGCCACGTCCATCCTCAGCAGCGAATTCAGCAAAGGAGTGGAAAGTTTTGAAGGTAACTTCTGCAGCATTCCAGTCTGAGAGATGACAAGCTGACCCTAGTCCAGCTGCCGAACATGAAGCCATTGCCAAAAACCTCCACCTTTGGGAAATCTGGGGACACCATTGCCCTGCCTCGAAAACCCTCGAGACCATTCACGCTGGCAGCCAGCAGCCCGTGGCTCTGAACTTTGGCAGAATCATCGCATTGGCAGGCGATTTCTACACGAACCGGACTTCCAATTCTCCAGAGGCGTATACACCCATATGTGGTCGCTTCTTCAAGTCGAACGAATCACCGATGTCACGATTCCGTAACGCCGTCGAGAGCCTGCGTACTGATGCCGACGGATTTCTGCGCAAGATATGGGAGATGATTGGTCATGAAGGGGACCTTATTGATGCAGCGCGCAGGCACGGCCACAGTCCTGCAAGCGCCTTGTATGTTCTCATCCTGAATTAGGACCTCCATTCTCGTAGGCTAACGGAGAAATAACCAGCCACTCTGGCCAGGTTCCCCCGCATATTCATCCCGATAACTGCAAGCTGCCCGACGACGCGGAGTGGTTCATGGCCATGTGGCGGGGCATCGACAAGCCGCTCATGAGCCTGTATGCCTGGCTGGCGTACACCAACGCAGACCACTTTGTGAGATACTTCTCTTCACAGTCGCTCAAGCAATCAATGCAATGCTAACATGCCTTAGGGCGATGACGCCGTCATGGCATACAGCATCGGTCATGCTATAGCCTTGCGCACTGCCCGGGAAGCAAAGACAAGGAAAACGCCGCAAGAACAGGCGCAGGGCCTGCATCTCGCTTACATCTACGAGGCCTTTGCAGCTCACTATCTTACCGATCTTTTCAGTGCAGGCCATCTGCGCGCACCGCGGCACCTGCTGCACTCGAGTAACTCTAAGCTGATGGCATCGTGCATGCTCAGCAAGCTGGGCATTGATCTGAGCAAGTTCGACATTAAGGACATCAAGAAGTGCATTACTGCTGATGCCCCTGAGATTCCTATTTGGGATATACAGCAGCGTTATGTAAGTGGTCGTTCACCAAAGGCGCCTTCGCTCTGACAAGGTCTTCATAGATGCACGACGATGACTGTGCCACCGGCCTGCTCGTCAAGAGCCGCAATGGCGACGAGTGGATTGCTTACGGTATGTCTTCAGCGCTCATGGTGAACAAGTGGACGCTGACCGGCATGACTTTGGCCAGGCGATAAGCAGTACTTTGAGTCGAAGAATGCAGTCAACCGTGCTCGAGCGTACGTGCTCCTGGCCCTCTTCCAAGATATCGATCGACTAACGTCCTTCCTTGTGGTAGCGAATTCTGCCTGCAAGCGTCCATAGACGAGGTCTATCAAGTCGGCTTCGAAGGCACAGACGCCCTCGATTTCAAAGACGACGATGCAGCATGGAACACATACAAAGACAGCTTTGCCGCAATCAAGTATCTTCCCATTCCCATGCTGGCCGTCAAGTCCGCCCCATGGACCTCATTAGTTGGCCACGATGATATGAACAAACCAGCCCCATTGTGGATGGCAGGCGAGGCCGACGGCAAAGGGCGAGCAAACGACTGGAGCTACCGGGCTGATCTCAACGATTATTCCAACTTATCCAGAAAGCCGGGCGTGCCATCTGAGGTACCTGGCTCTTTCAAGGGCGGGCCGTTGCCATTCATTCAATACCCCGTCGCCCGTCAGGAATGCATCGATATCCGAGATGCATCGTTTCGAGGTAACGACCAGTTCGCAAACCAGAAGAGCATGGACGGCCTCCTCTCCGGCGGTTTCCTGCAGATTCAGACTCTACCTCATCCAGACGCGACAAAGGGGACCTGCGTGAACTTCTGGACGCCGGCAATCGTCGACGAAGACGAGACCTTCACCATCCGCAACCGCGTATCCAACATCAGAATCCCACCGTCATCTGGGGGAGCCAAAAGCCGCCCGATCTTCTGGCATACGACAAACACTTACGCCCAGGGCCTGGAGGACGTGCTCTTGCACGGCTTCTACTGGACGCCTGCTGCAGACGGGGCGTCGGCCAGTATTGCTATGTGCGGGAATGCCTTCGAAGATCCGACTCACGGCAATACCTTCGAGCCTGGAGGCCGCCGACGCCATTACAACTTCCACCACTCATGGAACCTCACCCTCAAAGCGCCATCGACGGACTCTCCAGCGGTTACCGTGATAGCTACCGGCCTGCCCCCGGACGCTGGCTATGCGAACCTCACTCGCATCCTTGTTGGTGGCTTCCTGCCCTACAACACCGCTTCGCCAGATTACTTGACCGTCACGTATATCAGTGACAATGCCGCTCAGTTGAGCGCCTATAATGTCGAAGAGAAGGTGCATTTTACAGACGAGGTGCAACTTCCTTTACCGCTCTACAGCCACAGCAAAGATTTCCGCCCGTCCTCCACGGGGAAGAAGTCTCTGCTCTTGGTGCATGCCGAAAGAACGGCCGACTCGAAGCTTTCAGTCAACATGTGGGAGGCTCGGTTTAGTTTGCTGAGAAATGCCGAGGCAAAGCCTACCATCTCCTCACAGACCTTCCACCGGGAATTTGACGCTGATATCGACAACCCTGTCGCGCCCAGCGACTATCCCGTCCTCGTCGGAGACGTCCTCGGCTGCGGCTCAGACCAAGTCGTCGTTGTCTGTGGAGATTTTACAGCGCCTACTCTCCGGCTGTTCGGGCACATCTCTGCTAGCGGTGCGCAGGGTCAAGAAACAAACACGACCATGGCGACCCTAGGCCGCAGCAAGATGTCCTCACCCTGCGACTTGAGACTCGTGCGCCCATACATGACCGCCTTGATTGCAAATCAAGGCGGCTCGGGCCTGAACGTGCTCCAAATCTCGCAGCACGCAAGCCCCTCCGGCGATAAGTATATGGTCTTCCACACGTACATGCGTGCCTCATCTACTAGCGGCAATAATGCCCCCAACGTGGAAAACCAGGACGCGATCATCTGGGACACCGTCAAAGAAGTCACTGTCAAAGATACACTCGCCAGCAGCAAGAGCGGGCAGTACTTCCACATCAAATTCATCCAGACGACGTACGACATTCAAAACAAGACCCGGCTCCATGGCATCCTCGAGGTGTTCAGCTGGTACGGCGTGCTTGGGGTTCGGCTATTTGCGGCGGGCAAGGCGGGCTGGGACTACGAGTTGCGCGGGCAGCAGCCGTACCTGGGGCAGACGTCGATTATGGCTGGGCCTGGTTGCACGGGGGACTGGGGGAGCGGGATTTTACCATGGACTAGTGAGGATGACTGGGTTGACAGCTGTGTGTTTGTGCCAAGGTCGAAGGATGATTTGACGGTGGGGAGATGGGGGATGGCCAGGGAGGATCTGGGGAGGGAGTTGGTGGCGGGGTGGGAGGTTGACAAGAGGCCGTTGCGGTGATACACTTACTATGGGCTCAACAGGTACGGTTCAGCTAGTCATTCAAATGTGCGGTTACATCATGAAGAAAACAAGGTCATTGTGTGGATATGTTCAGCTAAGCCCTAACCCGAAGGATGGTCGGACGCAGCGATGTTGCACTGGTGCATGATGCGAGGGCCGTAGGACTCGGGGAACTCGGTCTGCTCACGGTCAGTTCTTGCGCATTAGACTAGGCAGGCGAACATACAATGCTATGCCACAGTGCTCGGTTATACCAGAGGATGACATCCCCCTCCTGATGGGGATGGGCGTAGATGTTCTCGGGCGAGAGGGCAGGGCTCATGATTCTGTCTTGATTAGCAACGTCTCTACAAGAACAGATCGACCTACTTGTGCATGAATTCCCGGACCTCCTTCAAGTCACTAATAATCCTTTCTTCCCCATCAGGCTTATCCTTCAGGTACAGCTTAAAAGCACCCTGCCCATGAACCTGCAGCGACTTCTCACCCGTGACCGGATTCGTCCAAACCATGGGATAGACACAGATCTTCTCCTCGCTCCACGGTGGCAGCTCATCAAGCGGAACTTCCTTCCCCTCCGTGACAATGGTATGACCGAGCTGCGTACTCCTTGCCGTGGACATCCACCTGAAAGCATGCGGCGCATACTCAACCCGACTGTTAAGCACAACCTCCCTCGTCTCATCATCCAGCACCTCCAAAGCCCGCGAGCCCGCAACCATCGCCGTAGCCCCAGGTGCAATCCCCATCGTCCTCCCCGTCCCATCGCCCCAGTGCACCGTGACATCGGGCCCCTTCGGCGTCCGAACCGCAAGCAAACACCCAACCCTCGGAGGCGGGATAGCATAGAGCGCCCCATCCCAATGCCACTGGTAGAACCGACTCGCACCCCTATCACGCTCCTCCCGCGGAATATGAGGCGGGACGTGAAAGTCGACATGGTCAATCCCCTTGACGTTGAAGCCGGGCGGGAAGTCGAAGTAGTTCTCCGGCAGTTCACCACGGCCCAGGATGTGCACTTGCGGCTGGGCGTTGATGGCCGGTCGATTCGGGAGGCCGTAGATCGTGACTCCGTTCTCGGTAAGCAGGACCGGGTCTGCGCCGTGTGCGAAGCCGCCTGTTTGCTCGTCGGGGTCGAAACTGCTCTCGTTGTTGGCTTACTCCATCCCATGAAAGAGGATAGGGGGGCATGTGCGTACCAAGCTGTGAGTCGATACTGCTGCTGAGGCCTCAGCATCTCCGGCTGCGCCTTGAAGACAAGCAGTTTATGTCTGTGCAGGGCGTCATGGATGAAGTCGAAGTCCGCGGAGGTGAAGTTGTTCAGGTCGATCCCGTAGACCTCAGCTCCAAAGTCGGCTTTGCTGTCTGGTGCATGCTTAATGGGCACGAGTCGGCCATTGCTTCTTGATGCATTGGGCGGGCTGTATGTCTCGCGCACTGTGAGCACTTTCGGGGGCCCGACGATTGTTTCAGTGGCGGATGCGAAGACCATTGTAATGCAGGTGCCTGAGATTACTGTGGTCAGTATACTGGGATGCTACTCAACTATTTTATTGACTTACATCCAGCCAACACCGCATCTCCCGCTGGAGCTCGAGTATATTGTCCGGTATTCGGCCGTCGACCTTGCTCGACTCCAACGGGAGATCCGACCGTTGCCGTATCAGGCCGGCCGTGGTCATTTAGTGCTGATCGGCCGATCCTGCGCGGGGTTTTCAAAACTATCACTCTCTCCTCCTTGAGCAGGCATCTTTGATACAGCGGGCAGAATTCTCATCAAGGGCAGTGACGGGATGGCTACTATCTCACGATATCATACGACACCAACTGGGACAAACATTCATTTCACCGAGACCGGCAACCCAAACGGTCCTCTAATCGTTCTCCTCCACGGACTCGGCAGTTCAACGGAAACATTCACTCCTTTACTTCCTCATCTCCATCCAGAAGACTACAGAATTGTATCTATCGACCTAGAAGGGTTCGGAAAGACCCCCTTATCCTCACCAGACGTCACCCTCTCGATTGCCCGCTATGTCAACGACCTGGAATCTCTCATCGCATCTCTGCAAGATCCCGCGAAAAGAAGTCTGGTGCTCATCGGACACAGCATGGGCGGGACCATCGCAACGCACTACGCCGCTCGACACCCAGAGCAAATGCGCGGCCTGGCGCTCCTCGGAACCGGACGCTCAATCGCCAACATCCCCGCCGCGCGAGAACGCATGCTAGGACTAGCCGCAAAGATACGAGCAGAGGGCATCGGAGCAGCCGCAGATATAGCCGCAATGTCAAACTTCCCGATGATGGATAAAGTAAACCCGAGACTACGCGATATCGTCCGAGAAACAGTGGCAAAGAGCGAGGTCGAGGGCTACGCAAAGGCGTGCGAAGCGATCGCGAGTCTGGACCACGTTGATCCGGACTACAGTCGTATCGGTGCGCCTACGATGCTGATTGTTGGGAGTGGGGATGTCATATCTCCCCCGGAACGATCTTTTGGAGTCAAGGAAGTGATGGGAGAGAATGCGTGGGTGGCGGTGCTGGAGGGGGTTGGGCATCAGATGGTTCTGCAGGACTTGGAGGGTTGTGTGCAGGCTTTCGAGGGTTTCTTTCAGAGAATCAGATGCTGATATTGGTTGATCCGACAATCAACAATCTACTATCTAGCTTGATAGCCCAATCTGTGAACCATGAAGCAGGATGTATCATCAGTCATGGCTATCTTCCCCGCACAGCGCTATCAGAGTCTCATTGGAGGCAGATATGATCGGCCGGTGTCTCGGCCGGGCTTATGCGCCTAGAAACTAAGATGCCCAAAGGACGATGGCGAGGTTGGGGTCTGATAAGCAGGTTCGGGGTCCCCCGATTGGACGGCTCACTTTATACACATACAGGGAGATAGATATACTCCGCGGTGGCTTGACTAGATGCTCTGAGTCTGTACCGAACCCTACATTGTCAAAATGATCTCTCGCATCATGGATGACTCCACAAGCTTCACCGTGACTCCTCTTGAGCGGAAGCCAGAGGAGAAGTACAATGTATGGTCCCATCCAGGCAGGCTGCGCGATGCTAAGCGGCAATAGTTCGGGGCAAAAGTAACAGGAATCGATCTGAACGACATCTCTCGTAATCATCCCTACAGACGCAAAGACCTTCCTAACTTCAGTAGACGAAGACGTCGATCGCCTCAAAGCCGCCGTCTGGCGCCACAAGGTGGTCGTCGTCAAAGACCAAGCAAACCTCGACCCTCGCAAGCAGTGGGAGCTCGTCAAACGCCTCGACCCGCATGCAAAGGACGGCCACAGCCACGGCAACATTGCGCAGATCCGTGAAAAGGGTGGCATCCTCTCGGTATGTCGTCGTACCACGATTCAACACAAGCTAACAGTGCCACAGCAAGGAAGAGAAGTCGTCGGGATCCCCGGCGCTGAGAACGTGCGCCTTATTGGCAAAGGGTTCCAAGGCGAAGACCACTTCGGAATCAAGAACCACTGCATCGAGCGTGGGTTGAGCAATGACTTCCACGCTGTTCCCCCATCCCTCGAAGAGTTCGATAACGGAATCACCCGCTTCCATCGATGGCACATTGACGCACCTCTCTACGGCAAGGATCCTGCGTGGTTCACGACGCTTCGATGCGTGAAGCTACCCAAGGGACCGGATCTCACAATCGAGTGGGCTGACGGCTCAAACCTGCGCATGAAGACGTCTCCTGGTCGGACTGCCTTCTTCAGCACATCGCAGCTCTACAGCTTACTCTCACCCGAGGAGCAGCAGCTAGTCGACCACAGCTGGGTCGAGTACGCCCCATACCCATACAAGTGGATCGAGCGCTGTAAGGGCAACAGCAACGGCCTAGGCCTCGCGGAAGGGTATGAGCGCTTGAGCATGGAAGAACTAGGCGAATACGACGACGCCTCTGTCAAAAAGGTACATCCTTTGAACCTGCCCTCCTAATCGACCTCTCAACTAACACCCCCAGTACCCAATGATCTGGGTAAACCCCCTAACAGGCGAAAAAGCCTTCCAAGTGCACGGCATCTGCGCCAGAAAGCTCTACCTGCGGAATTCACCCGACTCGAAACCGAAAATCATCGACGACGTCGCCGAAATCCGCAAGTTCATCCTCGACATCCAGCACCGCATCTTGAAGCCCGAGTATATTCTCCTAGCACCGTCTGAAGAAGGGGATCTGCTGATATGGGACAACTACGGCGTTTTCCATTCGGCCGTTGACTATCCGATTCACATGGGGCCGAGGTCGATGCATCAGGCGAATATTGGGGGGAGTGTTGGGCCGAGGGGGCCGGTGGGTATTCCGGGTACTGTTTAGACTTGGGCATGGCCAGTAAAGGAGCTAGTCATAGTTGCGCTCAACTCGAATGTTGACGTTTGTTCTGACATTCCTATTTAGTCCCTCACTTGCGCAATGTTAGGGCTAGCAAGGCGGAAACGAGGGATGGCAAGGTACGATATATTTGGCACTCTACCCTTAGGTATTGGTTTCGATGTCAAACACCCAAGTTCGAGACTATGTCTAAGCCCATCGATCCCGTATCACCTTCACCTTCACCGGCTCCTTGTTGACGGCAACAACATGATCCACCCATTCCATGCTCTTTTCGTCCGTTTCATATAGTTCCAGATCAAACCGGCTGAAGAGGTGCGAGATTGTGAGAGCAAGCTCCTGATATGCTAGTCTGTTTGTAGATAGTTAGTCTCTCTTTGGCCCGACGTTCATGTCACTAATGCAAGGAGGACTTACGGGCTTCCAACACACTGCCGCGAGCCTTTACTAAACGCAACGAGCCATCGATCCAGGGCTTTGCCCTCCTCGCCTAGCCACCGCTCGGGTATAAACTTGGTCGGGTCTTCGAAGAGGCCAGGGTTGTCATGGATGGTTCGGTGGGTAATAGAAACAATAGTCTAATTACATAACTTAGCTCACTGTCAGCACAGTTTCATACGATGAGGACTTACTCCAGCAGGCAGAAAATGACCCTGCACTGTAACCCCCGGCTCGGGGACGATCCTCGGCGTGATTCCTGGGACGGGCGTCGCTAATCTCAGGGTCTCTTTGACGACGGCCATCTAAACCCTCGTTAGCATCGCTCACATCGGTTTCTGTGGAGAGCTTGCCAGGTAGGGTAGTCTCCGGACTTCATCCCAGTCACAGTCCCGAATAAATGCCTCTGCGGCATCCAACTCTGTTCTCAGTCTGTCGAGCACCCTTGGGTTTGTGAGCAGATAGTAGGTGGCATTCGTAAGCGAGTAGGCCGAGGTATCGCTGCCGGCCAGGATAAAGAGAGCAGCTTCATCGATGAGCTCTTTCGGGGTCCTGGCTTTATATCCTCGTTCCTCGCTGGGTTGTAGCATGGCATCGAAGATAGTGGTGAGGCCGTCGGCGGTTGTCAGTTGGCCCTTTTCTCGGCGCTGCTGGACTCCTTCAACCCAGGCCTCGCATTGCTGGGTATGTCAGCTACACTCGTTTCTGCGAACGGTCGAATCTTTACCTTTCGGAACTGCGCGTAGCCAGAGAGTTTGGACGAGGTTAATGCCGGTGGCAGATATGGCGCGACGTCATTGATGATGGGAAAATGTTTAGCTGTTCAAGTCAGTGTCGCTCAGCAACCCATGAACCAGACACCTACCAAGCCACATCCCATGCGTAATCTTATCCATACTAATAATCAACCCATGGTCATGCTCATAGTCCTGCACAAACTCATCCGGTTGCCCGAACAGTGTCACATAAATGACATCAACCGAGACAGCGCGAAATAGACGCTCAGCATTGACCGGATTTCCGCTCCTGAGCCCATCATCAAGCTTCGCGGCGGCCTTCAGAACAACGTCTTTGATCCGCGGTGCACAAAGGTCGATTGCTGCGGGCGAGAACAACGGGGCGATGGTGTTCCGGTAGACGCGATGCCTCTTTGCATCCATGATCGCGATCAGGGCTTCGGGGTAGATGAGGGCTTTGTAGAAGTGCGGCGCTTTGCCGTAGTCTGTTCCGGCGCGATAGACACTGTTTCATCAGCATATTTTCGGTAGCTTCGCATGAAAGCCACAACTCACACGTGGTAGAACTCCGGATCGTTGACATGGACATGGTTCGGCGAGATGCGGATGACGGGGGATCCTGAGGTGGTTCTTTAGCAGACGAAGCTCTTGGGAATGAGCTACACACTGTATTCTCGATGAAGTCGGGGAAGATTCTTCACCAGCGTCCCGTTATCAACGACATCGTAGTAGAACTCCCACCAGCCAGTCAGTCCCGCGAGCGCTGGGCCGGGGATGCTCGATAGAGGATGCCAGTAGAGCCGCTTGAATGCGACCCAAACGCATGAAACCAGGAGTATTAACACGGCTGTAATGCCAGCCCGCGCCAGTTCGTCCGGTGTAAGAGCCATCATCAGTCAGATTGTTGTGTGCGATCGTCTTCTCTTGATAGCAAGCTCTTAACCCAGGCCACGCTGCCTCGCACCCTTGCATACATTGGTCACAGGGCAACTTGCGCCACGTCATCCATGCGACTCCCATCTCATTGCTTTTTGGATATCGTCAGCGCTAACTGGGCGCTTGGAGAGATCTGCGGGCCATTTGCAGTGCAAGTCAGGCAAGGTTCATGCAACCCTACCTGCAGGTGCCCAATGCACTGTCAAGAAAGTGTTAGTGATAGGCAAAATCACGATAACCAGGAAAAGATGGTTTGGAGTGCTGGACTGTCCCGTCATCGAAATCCCAGAGCTCTAAGGTTCGCAGCCCTAACTTGACCGTGTCTAGGTTATGCGGTGCACAAGTGACGGGCATGCATAACAGTTGCATACACCCCAGATAGGCAGTTCGGTCTCCGGGCTTGGAGTTAGCCCGACAGAACCCGCACCGAGACATTAGTAGCCTAAGAACTTTAAATTTTATTTATATATAAGGCTTAAAGTCTCTAGCCATAGTACTTTAAGTAATTTTTTTAGTATATTTATTAGTATAGGGATTTAAGCCTTTTTATTAATTAAAATTATTATTTTTTTAGCTTTATTATTACTAGAAAACCCCAGGCGTAGAGGACGCCTTACAACTTACTTTTATAATAAATTAGTAAGTTTTATTAAATTTTATACTTATTAATTGAAAGCCTTTTATCGCGATGCTATTAAGTAATTTACTAAGCTTTTAAGCATAGTTTGGCCATATGTATAAGGTCCTTGGCCTTAGGGATTGCAAATAGTGTGATAGGGTGTAATATACCTAAAAAAAAGGTTTATAAATAATAAATTTTAAAAAAAATAAAAATATTAAAATTAATACTAAGGTTTAAATCTCTAGCCTCGCGGAGACTAAATATTTTTAATATATATTAAGTTAATACTTAAAGGCTAACTTAGCTATTTATAAGTAAAGCTATTTATAAATATTTTTAAGTTTTATAAAAGGGCTATATATAATATAATAAGCTTTATAACTACCCCTTTTTTTTACGGCCTTGGTTTTTTAAGGCCTTGTAAATAAATAAATATATATATATATATATAATTTATAAAATACTTTTAAAAAACCCCTACTAGTATATAAAAAACCTTTAATAAAAAAGAAATCTTGCTATATATAATAAAAAATATATTTTACTTATATTTTTTTTATATAGCTAACTCTTGCTAGTACCTTTTTTAAATATATTAAGTTTTATTTTATAAAGCCTTTTTTTAATAATATTAAAATTTTATATAAAATATAAGCATGCTTATAGGTATTACCTATTTTTTATAAGTATATTTATTTAAAGTTTATAATTATTTTAATATCCTAGGCCCACGCAAGAGCGCTAGCTATATTTTATTTTTTTAATTAAATTTTATTTTATTTATTTTTTTTATAATTTTTATAAAAAAGTTAATATTTATAATATTTTTATTTTCTCGCGGGTTATAATTACCTTTAATATTTATAAAATATTATTATTTTATATTTTTTTTAAAATAAGCTTAATACTAAAGCTTTTATTTAATCCCTTTTTTTTTATAACTTTTTTTATAAACAAGCTACTTACTTTTTATAAGTATACCTTTTTATTAGCCTTTTTTATTTTTTTTATTATATAAATATATTTTACAAGCCTTTTTTTTACTAGCTTGCTAGTTAAAATAGCTTATAAAATTTTTTAATATTTTAAGTAATATAATACCTACTTATATATTTTAAATTTCCTGCTTTTACTTACTTTTTACTAGGTATTTTATATATTTTTTATATTTTTTATACTAGTATTTACTTATTTAGCTATTATACCTTATAAAAAAGTTTTATAAATTTCTAAGCTTTAAAAAATATACCTTATAAGCTTTAAATTTTTATAAAAATAAAGTCTTACCTTTATTTTTTTATAACTTTTATTTTTACTTACTTATAAGCCCTTAACTTTACCTGCCTATAAGCCTTAATTATTTATTTATAAGCCCTTAACTTTGCTTTTAAGCTCTTAACTTTACCTTATAAAATTTTAATTTTATTTTTATAAACTTTTTTTTATAAGCATAGCTAACTTATATATAGTTAATTAAAAATAAAATTTTTTTTTACTTTTATAAATAATATTTTATAAAATAGCTTTTATTACTTATTTTTTTAGCCTAGTTAATATCCTGCCTTTTACTACTAGCTAAGGTTTTAATATTTAATTTAGGCTTAGCTAATATAAGCAAGTTTTACTTAATATTTAGCTACCCTTTTTTACTAGTTTTTTTTTAATATAATACATATTTATAAAGTTAATATAAAGCTTACTAGGGTTATTATATTATTATAATATTTAATAAGTATTTTTATTTTTTTATTTATAAATTTTTTACTTATTAATATATATAAAGTTTTTTTACTTCCTGCCCATATATATTTTTATTTATAAGATTTTTATTTATAAAATCCTTATTTATAAAATTATTACTAACTTATTTATAACTACTAGGTAACCTTTTTATTATTACACCCTGTCCTACTAGGGGGCTACTTACTAGGGGAGCATGGGATACCTTGCCTTTAAATAAAATAAGTATTATAAATTAAGTATAAGCCTGGTTTATAATACTTCCCAGGGATATATTAAATAATTTAAAAAAAGTTTATAATTATTAGTTTATTAGTTTTATTTAAATTATTATTTTATAATAGTATTAAGCTGCTATTTAATTATAAATTATATTAAATTTTTATACTAGTATAAAGGCATGTATATTAATATAATTTTACTAATATAATTTAAATTACTACACGCGCATAAACTTATAAAATTATTTTTATAATATATATTAAATAAAAACCTCCGCGGGGCTATAAGTATATAAAAGATATTAATATTTTTTGAAAAAAATTATTTAATTATCCTGCTTTTATAAAATATATTTTTAGAAGTATTAATTAAAAATATAATAATTATTTATACTACTTATATTTTTACTTTCTTACATAAGACCTAAACTAGTGTAGTGGGGTTGCACCCTAATATTAATTCCTATAATACTTATAGCCTTACTACCCGCCTTTTATACCTAGTTTATTATTTACCCTAATATATATATATTTTTTTTATTATTATTCCTACTTATATTACGTACTATCTAGTCCTAAGTTACTATTATTATTTAACTTTTTTAACTTTTATACTTTAATACTACTTTTTTATATATTAGTAACTAACACAGGGCCATGTTTTTTAATATTATAAAAATAAAAAGGGCGTTTATTAAACCTTTAAATTAAAAGTTTTTAATACTAGTAGCTATACCTTAATAACTTAAGTATTTAAAAGTATTAAAAAAAGGGGCAAAAAACTGTTAACGCCTAAAAGTTAAAAAAAATTAAATAATAAGTATAAATTAAACCTAGTAAGTAAGGTAAGTAGGCCGCGTATAAAACACCCTAGTAATTTTTAAAAAAATAATAAACTAAAAAATCCTAAAAAATACTAATTACCTAATAAATATAATAAATTAAATAATAAAATTAATAAATTTAGTATAAATATAGCTAGTAAATTTAAAATAAAGTTCCTAGGGGCCTACCTAGGTAATTATACTAAGTATTTAATAATAAAGTAAAAATATTTTATAAGTTTTTTTTTATAATTATAAAATTTTATTTTTTACTAAGTATTTAGAAACCTAGCCCTTTAAAAAATTATTTAAAATTTTTAGTATATATAAGCCTATTGCTTGCTTGCTAACTTTTATTATTAAGTAAAAATATTTTATATATTTAAGTTTTTAAATAAAAATAATAATAAAAACACTAGGTAAATACTTATATTTATAATTAAAAATTTTAGTAATATATTCCCCGTGGCTAAAAATAAGCCTAATAATATTATTAATAAAATTTACATGCCTTTTAGTAACTCCCGTGGTAGCAATACCAGTATTTTTAAAAATATAAAAAGTATAATAAAAAAAAGTATTACCCTTTATTAATTATTTTTATACTAATTTTTAGTACCTTAGGTATACCTATATTTAATAATAAAAATATAATTAGGTTTTTAAAAATATATAAGTAAGTTTACAAGAACTAAAATATTTATAATAAGCTAAAAAAAGTTACTAAAGTAATAGGCTATTATAGTTATAATATTTTAAATATTATTAAAAACCTAAAAGGGTACGCCAAACAGGACTAAAAAATTTTAAAAATTATTATATTAAATAAGTACTAGTGCCTTGACTAGTATTAAATTAAGTAATTATATTAGTATTTTAAAAAAAATTTAAAAGTTAACTATATATATAAACTAATAACCTTTATAGCTATATTATAAAGTATAATATAATTTTAGCCTAAATTATATAAATTAATAAATTAAATAATTATATTTAATATATTTAGCTAACCTAAGGCCTTTTAAGTAACCTAACCTAATAAGTTTTTAAAAAATTTAAATTAAAAGTAAAAAGCTGCTGCTAGCTTAAGTATAAGGTAATTAAAAAATATATACTAAATATTTTTATAGCAAAAAAATTATACCTTAAAGTTAATAAAAAGGTTATTATATTTTTTTAAAAAAAAAAGTTAAAAAAAAGGCTATATTTTAAATATTTTTAAATATATAGCTAGTATTTTAATAACTAAAAAACCCCTAGTTTTATTTAATAAAATTATAAGCTAGTAAAAAAGGTACTTTAGTCTTGCTTAAAATAATTTTTAAAAAATTATAAAAATTATTAAAGTATTATAGCTAAATTTTAAAGTTATAATAGCCTAATAAGCACAGTAGCCTTCTTACCTTTTAAATATATAATAGGTACCGCCCCCTTAAATATTTATATACTAAATTATTATATATATTCCCCCCTAAATTAAAGCTACTTTTTAATAATACCCGCCTTAATAATACTTATTTTAGTAATACCCGCCCTAGTAATACCCG